TGAAAATCATGCTTGTGACCAAGCTTTTTGCAGAGGGTGCAGTACAGAGGTCTATCTTCATACCCACAATTGGTAAATATGTCCCGAGCACCAAGTCTGATGTGAATTTTGGAGGGAGGGGGGATGGATAAATCTATCTCAATACACACCCTTGCACTTTCCCTCCTATCTCTACTGACTGTGAAATCATCCATTTTTATAGGTCTCCCCAATAATGAACTAATGGTGAAAAGAGACTGGAAGTCAATGAGGTGAAGAGGGAGCTTTTCAAAAGAGACCCAAACAGGATAAATGGGACAATCCTCAGTAGATTTGTATTCAGTACTCCATTTAAAAACATAGAAGGAAGTATTATGAACATACCATGTTTTTTTAAGAAGGAATCGTAGGTAGTCATTCTCTTCTTTGAAAGTGAAGAGGACATCGAACTTGTTGATTCTCCTTATTTTAAAAGCCTTGAACCCCATTTTAGTAAGGAGTTCCTTTAGATGTGCGAGGTGTACCTCCCTTTTGAACCTGCCCACAGCAGAGTGATGCATTTTACTGGCCAATTGCATCTCTTCCTCTTGACTGAAACTCACTGATGGGCATGAGTTATAAAAGCCTTCAACTTTTCCAACTCCTTGGGTGTTAGATTGCTTAAAAAGGTCTGAGAAGTGTTTGACAAATCTGGGGGACTGGTTCTTCTCTGGGAGCTTACTGCTTGCCGGAAATATGGCCGGAAGGGAGGCCGGAAAGCTCTTCCTTCTCTCTAACTTCTCCATCATTATATATATATATCAATAGAGCCGATATATATCTGTGTGTGTGTGTGTGTGTGTGTGTGTGTGTGTGTGTGTATAATATACATTTTTTTAAATCCAAGTTTTGATCCGAAGATCAGGTTTAAAACCATTTGCTCTGATACCAAACTGTAACACCCTAATCCGTCCATGTCTGCAGCCCCTTTCGGAGTAAAGTATTAACTTGGTAATCGTAAAAATTTAAAACATTTCAAACACTTTTATTTATCATAATAATATTTTTCATAATATAAACAGTACGGAGTTTTCAATATTGCAGAAGCCTTACCAAATCATAATTACAACATAATTTATTATGTTCTCTAATTCAAAACCATCACATCCATTCCGACAATCTCGCCTCCGTCTGCCTCCAGGATCACGTCACTTCATCCTTTCTATTAACCTGCGTGTAGCAAATAAAACATACTACACGCTCAGCGTTGAAGCTGAGTA